GTCTATGGTTTCCTCCATTAGCATTGAAGTGAAGGATCATGCATCTTATAAAGATACATAATAAACAAAAAGTTTTTTTCTCCTACATTTAAAGTCCCAAGATTAGCCTTTGAATCAACTAATTATATTCAAACAAGATGGATCGGATATTATCTCTTATAGCACAGAATCAAATTCATGGATAGAACTCGTCCAAGCATCTAGTTTCTACCGATGGTCAACGTAGCTAAAGACTCACATAAGAAGCATTAGAAAAATTTAGAATGCTAACTCTAATTTTAATTTTTTTGCTATGTATATTCTTCTCTCGGGAAAGTACATAAAGTAGTTGGTGCAATATTGTAAGAGAGGGTAGTGGGTTTGTTTCTTTTTTGGGAGAGCACGACTCTTTTTATTCTTTTTTTTTGTTATTGTTTTGTAACTCCTTCCCTCTATCTTATATAGGTAGCAATAAATTCTTTTCAATAAAAGAGTTGTAACTTATGTGGGCTTTTTTTGATCTTATCATCATAAACCCGTAACTTTATTCTTAAGTTCTCAAGATTATTCCTTTACTTAAAATACCTTACGGGTTTTTACTTAACTTTGTTGGCCCAAACGCTTTTGATCCAATAGCTCAACAAGTAATTTGGACCATCTAACTAAGTTAGGTTAGGTATATTTATAGAGGCCCACATTAAGAAATAATTTTTCACGTTACCCTTATAATTTATTAAACCTAAATTAGGAAACTAATTTATATTTTAGGAAACTAATTTTCAAAATAGAAAACTGATTTTAAAATTAAAAAATTAATTTTCAAATTATGAAATTGATTTCTAAAATAGAAAAATGATTTCCAAAATAGGAAACTTTTTTCAAAATCTTCACTTATCTTTTTTCGTGTGAATATTTAAACTTAGACGTTTGACTCAATAGGCTCTTAGATATGTTGACAATGTATTGAGAAGTAAAAGACACTTCTTTTATCTCTCAATACATAAATTAAGATTGACTAGTAAAGCATCATAACTACGCAATTCTCTAGAAGCATTACTTGATCTACAATAACTTTTCATGAGTATGGTTTTAATATAATTTAGTTCTCATGTCAATTTATTAGATTGTGATTTCGAACTTAGTTTGTTGTACTGTTTGATTATGATCACTCGAATTTTCTTCGATCTCTAAATATCTTAGCTCTCAAGTAAATCAATTATGCTCTATTAATATACTTTCATTATGCCTACGGATTCTTGAGCGGACATTCATAGAAGTACAATATGATAACTTTTTTAGCAAGGAATGACTTTTCCTATCTCGATTATCTACTTATCTTCATTAGATTCCTAATACACCCAACGAATCACCCATATGCAGCTCTTTACTCGAGCTCATTGACAAAAATATCAAAGTACATTAATCCTCTAATGAGATAATCATGATGACTTCAAGTCAAATGACTACTTGTACCAATCTCGTATGAGATTTTCATAGATAATACCAAATGAGTTCTCATGACGAGTCATGTCTAGTGATATATTCTCTAATATTATTCACATGTATGCTTGTTTTTGACATCACCATGCTAGTAAGTGTAAAATCTACTACTAATATCTTATAACAAGAGCATAACACTCACAAGTTTTATCACATATTGTCAATGCTCAATCTTGACAATGCTACGACTTGAAATATTTAATGATATCATTTATATGCATTGATATTTATCTTACATCTATTGATCAATTATGAATGCAATCCATATCATATAGACTTCTATCTAATTCTTTCAAATTATAAATACTTAAAATTAATAAAAAGACTTCTTTATTAATATTAAAAATACAATAATATAATATACCATACCATTCAAATAGGTTGGATCTTGGACACGCACGCTAACTTAAAGAACTTACTTTCGGTGAATTTAAAATTTGTAGGAAAACTAATAAGCCTATAACACTTCTCCTTACTATGATAAGATTTTCCACAATAAGAATAAGTGATATCCATTCTTCTTCTATTATTAGAAAATGCAACTATAGCAGAGCATTCATTAAAAGGTTAGTGTTGAACTTGAATTGATATATGAGATTCTTCTCGCATAGCCAAGTTATAGACTTCATCCGAGCTAGAAAATGGGTTCATAATGAGAACTTGAACTTCGATGAACCAAATGATGCATTTAAACCATTAAGAAACTTGAAGATATATCCTTCTCTTGAATTTCTACAAACTTCTAAAAGCATTTGGCATTGCAATTTCCACAACGAATGAGGTAAATGTATGAAGTTTCTTAATTCTTCCCATACTCTATTAACCTCGGTAACATAATCACTAACGAGCTTGGTACCTTAAGTGATTGAACACAAAGACCATTGCAAGTTACATACCCTTGATTCATCTCGTCCGTGAAAATCTTTTCTTCAAAACTTTCTAAATTTTTGAGGTCGAGATCATATATAATACTATTGCAACAATAGAAGGTGAAATTGATCGTGTTACTACATCGCTTTCATGAATTGAGAAGAGAATCGTTTCATCGTAGGTCGAGGAATGGAACCATCAACAAAATTTAATTTATTGCGAATTGAAATAGCAAACATAAAAAATCCACTCCAAGTAGCATAATTCTCCATAGTTAATTCAAAAGTAACTACAAGAGAACCATGGTGATCCGAGTGATGAATGAAACACGATGGATGATGATCTTCGATATTGAGATTGATTCAGCCATGATCAAATGAATTAAAAGGAAGGAAGAAGATCAATTGAATTGAAGAGAAGAACGAAGAACAATAAAATGGAGAAGTGAAACCCTAAAATCCTTCATGGCTCGATACCATTTAAACTTTCATGATTGGATGAAAACAGAGGAATGAAGAAGAAGAAGAAAAGAAAAATTTGGTAAAGTTGATTCCGTTTTCAACTTCGAACTCTAGTTATACATACATAATTAGTGCTTTTTATATTGACTTAGCTAAACTAATTACGTGTATCAAACTACTAACCATATAACTAGTTTAACAAACCGATTGACTAACTCTCAAGTATAACAATAAAAACTATACACGTGATTGTACACATAGACTTATTTAATACTCAAATATGGAGTTTATTAACACAAATTACATATTCTTTATATAGAATAAAAAATAATTAAAACCTCTCGATCAGAATTGACATACTAAGTTTAGTAGTTTTTGTTCCAAAAAAGCCCTCCTTTTCAATTACATATTCCTATCTTATCTTTTTTTGTTTTTTCTGTTGTTTTCTATTTCTAAAAAAGAAGAAAAATAAATAAATTAAAAAGAATGTGAAATTAATAAAAGGACAACGCTGTAAATGAATTTAAAGTTTAGAGAATAAATATATAGTTTTTGAGAAACTATGAAGACTTTGGTTTATTAAACTATAAGGATTAATGTATAATTAACATGTGGTTTTAGTTAAGTTGTGTTTCAGGAAACCTTTACATGCACACGTCGCAGTCCCTGTAAAACAGTACTTCTTACAAAATTACATCCATGCATCCAAACTTTGGTGCCTCCAAACAGGTACTTTTGCAGGATATTTTGGCAGGAAAGACTAAAGAGTGGCTAAATCCATTGAATAATTGAATGTGTAGTGGAACACGACAAATTTAGCCTTGTGCAAAAGGTTTGGTACTAATTTTTCTTTTTTCCAGAAATTTGAAAATGAATAATGTTATGCTAGTACAACGAATGACATGTGAAAATGGCAAGTGATTGGATCAATATGTGACGTTTTGTTGGGTTATGATTATGTTAAACAATTTCTGGAATTTTGGGTCATGTTAACCGATCAGATTGAGATGATTAATTTTGGATTTTGGAGGCACAAACATTCTCTTGCTTCGTCTACATTATTGAAAAAAAAAAAAAGAAGGAATGGACCTCCGAAGATACCACTAAAAACTATAGCATACATTGCGTTGAATGAATGAATGTATGCTATAGTTTTTAGTGGTATCTTCGGAGGCCCATTACTTTTTTTTTTTTTTTGCATTATTTGATATTTCCTATTGTTTTGCATTATCATGTAAAATAATGTAGGTATCCATCTGTTTTTTTTTTTTTTTTCTCCTTTCGGTCCAATCTGTTTCAATCAACAATTTTGTGGGTGACGGTATAATATCATATTTTATTTAATGTGTGCATTTTTAACGTTTATTATGTGACTTCTAATAAAAAGATTAATTTTTAATAAAACTACAGCAAAAAAAACATTAAGTCATCGGTTTTAAAAAATGAAGGACTAATTATAATTATTACATTCAAAATCTAATAACTAAAGAATAATTTGTTTTTTTTAATATAGTAAAAGAATAATTAGAAAATTACGAATGTAAGATAAAGTAACAAATTTATCTTCATCTATTCTTTTTAGATCTTAATGTTGAGTATTTTTTTCGAGCAAGTTTTTATATATTGAAATTAATTTTTTTTTTATCAAATTTTAAAGAAATCATTCGTGTTTGAATTATTGTATTTATGAAAAATAATTCTCTTATGTTTTTTTTGGTAAACATGACACAATTTTTGGGTAACATATGTATAATGTTATAGCTGCTCATAATCCATACTAATTATATGCGGCATTCTAGTTAAGAAACCTAATAATTGCTTAATTTGAATCATTAAGTCCAAACTAATGAGTTGTTCATGATCATTGCTCCTCAAAACCATGATTACTTCGATACATCAAACCAAATAGCTACCACGATTGTTGTAATTTGCATAGCTAAAAGAGCATTCACACCAAACCTAATATTGCAAGATCATTCGCATATATATATATATATATATATATATATATATATATATATATATATATATATATATCACTTTGGATTTGAAACAAAAGCTATATGGAAAATAACTTGACTTTTAAGTATAGCTTTAACTTGGATTCAAATCCCTGCGTTGGGACTGGAAAAGGCACCAGTTCATACACACACGTATATATAAACATTACCAGCTATCGTGTGAAAAGTGATGCACGATCAGCTAAAGCAAAAGAGGCAGGATATATGGAAAGGCGTTAACGTCCTACAATCCAGTGCTGGCAGAAAGCTCACTTACACAGGTTAGTTGCACAGACAGATCTATCACTTTTTTGCCTCAGTTTGGGATCAGAGAGAAGCAAATTAGACAAAGTCAAAAACACAGCGGGGACCATGCATTGCAATTGACCCTACCTATACTTGCAACATTCTCTCACCCTCGTCAAAAGCGTCCAAAGTCAAAATCAGCATCAAGTCATTTGTTCGCTGAACTTCATTTTTGCCCCCTTTAGATTCACCAATATTTCTTCTTCTACCTCTAAATTAGAATTCTAGTTTCCAAAATATCCATTAAACAGCTTACCTTTTGAATTTGATTATTGAGTCTTTTGCCATTAAGTTGTTAAGTAATTGTTTTTTTTTGTGAGATCTAATAGCAAATATGGGGATTTGAGAGGGAAATGAGAGAAAGTGAGAAAAATAAGATGAAAAAATATGAAGGAAAAGTCAGCTTTTTGTTAATTATTTAGTAGTGATTAGTAAAAGGGCAAAATTGAGACTTTCCCAAACTACAGGGATAACATTGGGAAATCGTAAACTACTAAGATTGAAATAGAACATTGGTGAATCAATAAGGCTAAAATGTAGTTTACCCTCATTTGTATTTGCGCCTTTTGATGCCTTTCCATCTGTGTCTTTCTCGTTACCTTTCCTTTTCACTCTATCATCTCTAACTCTGTGTCCCAATAAAAGGAGATGACCTCTGTGTGTGCATGTGTTAGACTTTAAGACCAGAAGAAAGTGAAAAGGAGGTTTTGAAGAATATGGATCTTCGATCTAGAAGAGGCAGAGGAGAAAGAGAAACGAGCCCAGACAGGGCCAAAGTTTGCATGCAGCAGCAGCAACAGCCAAGGGTCCAACCCATCAAAAAGGTTCGAGTTGTTTACTACATCTCCAGAAATGGCCAACTTGAGCACCCACACTACATGGAAGTCACCCATTTGGCCAATCAACACCTTCGTTTGAGAGGTAGATCCCATAACTAGCCAAATTCTTGAATGGTTAATTACTTCTTTTGCTTAGTTTGGTTCTTGTTCTTTGTCTGGTGCATGCATAGATTTCATGGATCGGCTCACAGTTCTCAGAGGCAAAGGCATGCCCTCTCTGTATTCGTGGTCTTGCAAAAGGTACATACTCATATTACATTTTGGTCATAATCTCTGATTGCTTACACCAAATTTTCTTGAATTTTGACTAAAGGTATGCTCTTATTGTTTTGATTTTCGATTAGGAGCTACAAGAATGGCTATGTTTGGAATGACCTGACAGAAAATGATGCCATCCATCCATCTGATGGAGCTGAATACGTGCTCAAAGGGTCTGAGCTTGTTGAAGGATGCCCCGGTCAGTCTCCATTAATTAATTCTCAGTTGCAATTGAGGTTCACGGTACTGTATCACTGTGTCAGTGGCTAAGTAATATGTATCTCTTTTGCAGAAAGGCTTCAACAACTTCATGTAAGCAATAATAGGCAACTAATTCAAGAATCCAAGCTCCATGCAAAAAGAAAGCAACTTCTGGAACCTATTCAACGGCCAAGACAACTCGAAGAAACTCATGGAACAAAGTACTATCAAGAATATGAAGAAGAAGAAGAAGAAGAAGAGCAAGAATCACAAGAAGAATATGAAGATGAAGAGAAAACAAGCTACACAAGCTCCACAACCCCCCATTCTCGTTGTTCAAGAGGTGTATCCACAGACGAAATTGAAGAACAAGTAACTCACAAAAACCCCACCACCGAGTCAACTCACCATAACTCTCCCCCACCATTAACATCCTCTATACTCTCTGAAAAAACTCATCAAAACGGCAAAAATACCTCCAAACGTTTTGAAGACGGTGACCCAGTTGCCAGAGAGTCGGCACCGGGTCGTAACTCGGTCCTACTGCAACTCATTTCATGCGGAAACTTAACTGTGGCCAAACCAAAAAACAATGTACCTAGTTTAAATCAACCACCTGCAGCTATGAAATTGAATGATCCTAGTGCTAATGTGGTTAAAAGGAGTGACAGCAATCTTCATAGAGGGGTTTTGTACAAAAGTGCGGTTAAAGTTGCTGAGGAAGAGATGATTAGTTTCATGTCCGAGAATCCTAGGTTTGGGAATTTGCAGTCTGAAGAGAAGGAGTATTTCAGTGGTAGCATTATTGAGTCAATGAGTGAGAACCGAGTTGTAGACCAGCCTGGTTTGAAGAGATCCAATTCCTATAATGAAGAGAGGTTAGTGATATCTTTCTTATGGCATTTGATTTTGGTTTTGGATTTTAATCCTTTATTGAATCAATAGAATTCTAGTCGAGTTGACTCAGTTCTGTTAGATTTTCAATGATTTGACTCTCAAACAGTTGCTTGCATGTTGACCATCCATGTCAGATGGGGCCATGGGCCAGATGATGGCGTGGATCACAAATCTTTACCGAGTTTATATAGCTTGGACCTTTAGCTTTAAAATTATAAGGTGATTTAATCCTTCTAGTTTGTCAAATGGTAACTTGATCCCTTATTTGACTGTCAAGTGTCAGGTCAGTAACATAAACTACCAAATAACTAACGAGAAATTGGTGATAACTAATCAACTGACTGACAGAAAAGTAAGGGAGGGACTAACTTAACTTATGAAAAAACATCTGAAAATACTGGGATTGATTTATTGTTTTCAAGGGCTAAATTATTATTTTTTTTGTTTTTTTTTTAAATACAGGGATTGATTTATGCAAATTTCCAGAAAATAAAAGTAAAGTGGACTTGTGGTGGAGTCTTTAATTATTAAAGAATCACTTTTTGGATTTTTTTGAGGAAATGAAGGGATCATAGTTGATAATCATCACTTTTTTTCACTTTAGTCACTAAGTGATGATTAATTTGTTGGTTAGGGCCACAAAAGCTACTTTTTTTTTCTTTTTTAGACCGTGAAAAGTTACTTTTTAGTTTGCCAAGATTTACTGTAGGATTATTTTCAACCTTGTTGACCCGTTTTGCATGTCTCTCTCTCTTTTTTTTTTTTTTCGTTTGTTGAAAAACAACCCAGATGCAGCAAGGCTGGAATGGAGGAAGCAGTGAAGGAAGAAATCAAGGAAAAAGGTGTGAGAGGCAAATGCATTCCTCTAAAGAAATCTTCGTCATCTTCGAAACAAAGCAAAAAATGAGTACGCTAAGTGTCCCATTGAGTAATGGAAGTGGATGCAGCAGTAATTACTAGCAGTTATTAGGGTTTTACCTAATTAATAGGGTAACTGTTGTAGTGCTGTGGAAATTAATTTGACAGAGATGTTGCAAATCTTGGAGTTGGGGAGACGTTGAAAAATTGAAACCATGGTGTGATTCCCTGTCCTGTGATTTGGTTGCAGGGAGCATATATCACTGTTATTTCTTTGTGTGCTTTAATGAGATTTTCTATCATCTTCATTATCACTCCTACACTTTTAAACTTCGAAGATTCAAACGGTAGTTCACATGCAACTATTTCGTTTTCTTTCAGTCACTTGATGTGTCTTTCTTTTCTTTTTCTTTTTTATTCCTTGGGGCAAGGGTATCTTCAATTGACGTGATTAAAAGATGGACCCTTCCATTGATTGGGGTGGCTTGGGTAGAAGATGTTTTAATTATTTAAGCAACTAATCTTCATTTTGATTACTTATTTAGTTAGAAAACTTTTTATATAATTATATTCGTTTTATATGTTCGATTGAGAATAGTGATAGATAAATTTGGATTTTTGAATTTGTAATATCCCAGAGATCTGCAAAAAAAAAAAAAAGATAGACCTTTCTTTATAAATATAAGTTAGTTTTTTTTTTTTTAATGATCTTGATTGGGTGCATTCTGAAAAATAAATTTCCTTAAATTTTAGTTTTTAAGGTTTTAGTTCAGAAAATTAAAAGAAAATAAACTTCTTAATTATCATTATCATGTCAATTCTTTGAAGTTAAAAGACAGATTAAATACCTCAATACATTCATCATTAAAAAAGTAAAAAAAAAAAATCTAAAATCTAAAATTTCCTAGCATTTAATTAACCTCGAAACATCCATCATTATAAAAGTTAAAAAATCTAAAATCTCCTAACCTTAATGATTAAAGGTCTAGAGTAATACGTGAAAAAAATTAGTTGTAGAATTATATATTATTCTTGTTAGTGTAATCCTATCAAAGACAGATTATCATTATCATGTCAATTCTTTGAAGTTAAAAGACAGATTAAATACCTCAATACATTCATCATTAAAAAAGTTTTAAAAAAAGTAAAAATCTAAAATTTCCTAACCTTTAATTAACCTCGATACATTAATCATTATAAAAGTTAAAAAATCTAAAATTTCCTAACCTTAATAATTAAAGCTCTAGAGTAATACGTGAAAAAAATTATTTGTAGAATTATACAAGGTTTTTTTTTAAGTAGTTTGGTTTCACTATTCCTGTGGCAAATGTTTTTATTTTATTTTTTAATTTAGTTTCACTATACATGTTTTTTCTCTTTGTTTTTTATTTTTCATCAATTTAGGTTTTTTATTTAATTTAGCTTGCTAAATAATTAAATGATTATTAAATAACAAAAAACAATACATAAGTTGCGATTAATACAAGAAAACGTAAAAACTAAAATAAATTAATGTCCAAGATTAGTCGGAGGTTGGGTGGAGTCGTCCGGAGGCAAGGTTGGGTCGTCGTCGGTCTCGGGAACGGCGGATGAACTACCACTATGGTCAAAATGCCGCATGAACATCTATTACATCCGTTACATCATCGTATATTGTTGTCGACTATAGGTTCTCAACTCATTTGTCGTATCTAACAATGATGCCATTTGGCTCGTAGGTCGTTAATAGTACCTTCTAAGTTATTGATGTGTGTCGTGTTTGTAGATGTTGGCTCTTATAATTCCTTTAGCCGTGCCTCATCACTGCATTGAATCTGAAGTAGCAGGAGATGAGCCCGAATTGACGAGTAGAATAATAGTGAGATGCATGTAACCCGAGTCCGTACATATTCTTCCTCCTACTATCTCCTTCACCAACGGCCCTCCGAAATATGTCATTCATGTCGGGTGTGGTCGATTCAGTCCCTCTCAACTTCGACTAGCAACCTCTTCCTCATTAATTAATCTTTGTACGGTCTCCCGTATAATTGTGAAACACAAGCATATTAAATACGTATGTCAAATAACGTTATTAACTAACAAATATTAAATAATGTTTTAAAGTTATCACTTACTCCGATAACCTTCGATCATTGATCGACGAAGACTAACCGATCATCAAAGTTTCTCCGACGAGTCCTCAAGAAAACCTCGTGAGGATCGGGTTCACGACCTAACACATTACGCCGAAAGCATATATAAATAAACGTAAATGTATTAAATATAGTCAAATGTTTAATTAATTATTTTGAGTATTATTTTTTTAAAAATTATAAATAAATAAATTAATATATATTTATTTACCATGTGTGTGGTGTGCTCTTTATAGCCGATTGATCCCCTCGTATGTCTAGAAGGACCGACTTCGACGCTACCAATCTTGCTCCTATGGTTCCGTGCTCGCCATCTCGGATCGGGCAACGACCTCGGGTTTCGTCCATTCCGTAGTCCATGCATCCCATATTTCCTGTGAGATAAATGCCGGCTTCGGTTTTTTCCTTAGACGATAAAGAAAGTCGAATATCGCTTCCATGTGAGACTTTCCCATGCTTTCTTAACTATGCTCTCGTTCAAATCATCATCCCACTTAAATGATTTCTCGCAAAAAAAAATAATAATAATAAACATTACTAAATTTATTTACATATTATTTTTTGCTATTTAATTAAATATTAAATAATATAATCAAATAAAATTTAAAAATTAGTACCTTAAATTCTTTACAATAAAAGTCTTTTGTCTCCGGATTCATTTTCTTCCACATCCATCCCGAAATATGAACATACTCCTAGAATGTCTTAACAATTGAGCGAGAGCAAACATCGAGGGATACAACCTATAAAAAATAAAAATTAATTAAATTAATAAATAACCGAGTACATAATAACGATAATAAAAAAAATATTTAATTAAATTAAGCATAAACCGTACTCATTGTGCCTAACGACAATGACCCGTACTCGATGGTCAACCGCATATGTGATAGGTTTCGAAGTCGATTGACGCGGGATGTTTATGGGGTGGAACTTGTTGAGGAACGGAACGGTTATCCCGATGTGATGACGAAGGCACCGACGACGACGAAGGAAAAGATGAGGGAGGTCAACGTGGAGGTCCATAATAAGGAAATGGATGAGGCCGAGACATGTCGGGTATGGAACGGTATGTGGAGGGGCCATCGAAAGAGTGGTACGAAGGCATGTTCGGTGGGGGATTCATTCGACCGTAAACAAGCCGAGAAGGGTGTCTACGTCCACGATCTCCGTCGGACCGATCGTATCCGAACCACGACCCCTACCTCGAGCCATTATGACTTACATATTAATTATTAAATTCAATAGTATTTAAATAAAATATTAACTATATATAATGCATATATACTTACATATAACATTCAAATTAATATGAACAAATTGATTTATATTTAAACAACAATAAATCAAAAATATTTATTTAATTAAATCTTACCTTTAAAAAGTATAAGTTAACTATGTAGGTAAACATAATAATAAACCTAATTTTTTCTTTTTTGTGCCGTAACGGAGACGGTACCTCGGAGATTTATTAAAATATTATGAAAAATTACACTAGGAGGATAAAACCAAACCTATCCCAACCACCTGGAGGATAAGGTTGCCTAAATCCTTAAATTTATACTACAATTACATAAAATCTAAGTGCATAATTTATGAATTGAATAAAAAATAAAATATAACATAATCTACTGGGATATACCATATTATCTTTAATCGGCATCATGATCATCATTGTCACATTCTTCATCTAAGTCTTCCTCAACATCGGTTTCTAACTCCGATTCATTCCGAATATCTATTTCACCACCGTCCAATTCTAATAATGCTCTAAGTAGGACCAATCAATGATCGACCTTCATCATCATCAATGTGGATGACATTGTGTTGGCCTTCTATTTCATTTTCTTAAATGGGTTCGATATTTGTTTGGTCGACGGTAACGTACATTTTTGGCACATCTACCGTCAACCTTGGTTTAACCTTACATGCCGCCAACCAATCTCGTCGTATACGTTTACATGTAGGATATGTTACATAATACATCCGATGCGCTTGTGATGCTAGTATGAAGGGATCGGATCTATTTGAATACCTACGACTATGAACCTTGACTAG